GTAGCATACGGGTCCTGGTGGAAGTCAGAAGTCAAGAGAGATGCCTCGATTCGGCCCGGATAACCGAGCCAAGAATGTTGACCGGAGCAGTGATTCATCAACCAATGAAAAGCGTAGTCTCTTTTTAGGCCCTGCACCGTGAATAGACTTACACGTAGTTCCATTCTATTTGATCGTCCCTTCATGAAAATTTATCCGATACATACAGTTGACCAACAAATAATTTATAAATCTTCGTGATCACCGCAACCATCTGTTCTCATGAAACAAAGAGATGACAATGCTTGAGGGTGGAGCGCGGAGCGCTGGAAATCCCAAATGCGTATGCGCTGCCTCACCTAGCGACCAGTTCCTTTAACCGGTGCAGTTCACTCTTCAATTGCATATCAACTTTCGAAATCACCGTTTGATATGCACCACCGAGATGATCGCGGCCTTCAAGGCATCACACGATAAGGGGCCTAAGATACATGAGGAAAGGAAGTGAAAGGAAAGTGGGCGGTCATGGTATAAATGATGGTGCGTAGGTGTTGATCAAGGTAAGGAGGGAGAAAATGTCTATAGTAGCTATTGAGCATGGGAGGTTTAGATGGCTTAAACTATCTTTGGAAGTCAGTACGCACGCACTTCTTGCGAAATCAAAATAGACTCGCCAGCACAGACAACATAGTACCTCTTACGGGCGGTATACCGGCGATGCGCGAGCTTGCACGGTGCGCTCTAGAGAAGTAAAAGTAGCTGTTAGACCTGGCGAGCTAAAAACTAAACACACTTACTCATGAACGCGGGCGGGTTTGGCGGTAGTCCACGTGCCATCCTAGCAGCATTTGTCTCTCCTTCAAGAGGAGCAGCCCCAACAGCGGTTAAAGCGGTAGCAACAAACATGAGAACGAAGGTGAGCCTCATAATAGTGAGGTCCTGGATGAACGAAAGAAAGAGTATTGTGCAGACCTTCAGCTGTGCTGTTATATAACCACCGGTATTTGTAACTGAGGTCCTAAAACATGTTCGGGATCCTAGATGGCGCCCTTAGCTGATGTTCCTTGCGTCAGATGTTATCGGAGGCTGCGCTGTCTGGAATGAAGGCCGTCCCAAGACGAGGCATTAACTTTCTTTGTTGCTAGGGTTCTCTATAGGGTCATCGTTACAACGCATCGTAGTCTTGTACAGTATTGTAGAATTCGCCAATGATCCTTTTCTGGGCCTCACGTCCTGTCTCCGTCTAACGACGAGATGAGATCGATTTACGGATTAAATAGAGGAAACAGCTTACTTCAGTGTCCCCAATCGCACGAACGACGATGTATTTCCGCCCTGTTAAGATAGCTTCACCAACATCGCCGAACGCGGGTGTCTCTTTAGTCTCCGCATACACTTTATGGGACCCTGTTACTAGTCCACCGGCTTCCTGGGCGATCAAAACCCCAGCGCTCACATCCCAAGGCCAGCATCCAATTTCCCTGCACATAAACCTTAACGATGCGAGCTTGGTAGAGGATGGAACTACGCACCAGTACATATCCAATCCACCCTGGGCAACCATGGCAAAGTTCATTGCGGAGCTCCCTAGGGAGCGCAGCGAGTGGGCCATTCGGCCACCAACAACGCCGTTCGAGGGGTCTCCTGCGATAAGATGGAAGCTTTCCGAGCGCGAGGTCAATGGTTTCGACGCGCGGTCATTGCCCCATTCAACGGCTATTCATGCGTATTTTGGACTCAGACTTCCGGGAAAGGTGGAATAGCACTGACCTATTTGGGCCTGGCTTAATGAAGCGAGGGGCTTGGGCGAACTGGCAAATGGGAGCTTGCGTGGGGTGCCGTTGGGGCCGCCGTGCGTAACATACGAACCGGACCCCTTGACACCGGTGTACTAAACCTATTGTAAGCACGCGTCATTGCAGCAAAGCAAATTGGGCTAACTAGCAGGTCGAGGAAGGGGTTATAAATTACGCCCAAGACGGAGTGACGCTTGTAAATCAGACCAATAGAGATGCAGACCCAGGGAAAACCATGGACAAAGTTTGTCGTCCCATCTGTTCAAGAATGAGTTCCTGTCGATAAAGACAATTGGAACTGTATACCGATGGGGTCAACGCAGAATGTGGGCTCATCTGTCCATTCTGGCCGTGATCCTGCAGCGTAGGATTCTTCTCCGATACTAGAAAGAAATTTGTCTAACCTTCAGGACACCAACAAAGGTAGCACTCACAATTTGAATGAAGGATACGTCTCGCTGATCTTCTTCTTCACAAGCTCCTCGACCTTGACATCGTACTCTGTAACGAGATCTACCGAGTTTTTCTTCTCGTCGACGTTAGATCCAGCCAGTTGGATTGCTTCTGAGCCTTTGCGAATGACATCGCCGGCCTCGTAGGCAAGGGCGACGATGAACTTGAGGATGGATTGGAGGTCGAGGTCAGACATGGCTGTAGGAGACGAATACTAGCGATCGATAATAGATGTCATCGATGACAATCCACGTTCGTCCGATGCAATTATTGCCGTAACTGTAAACGTGCATGGCGTGCTCAAGGGACAATATGGGCAGACCGTTGGGATGATGGTGGTCGATGATCAAGAGGCGCGTGCTCTGGTTACTCTACCTACGTAAATCACACACGACAATCATTTCTATGGGAGAGGTGGCGAAGTCAGTGCCAGTTCTTTCTCACTGGCTACTACAATGGCCATCTGCTCGCCATCAGTTTAGATGGCCGCTACGTCCTTGTGCACGGCATCGGATTGATATCCAACCATTTTTTTAGATTCTCTTATCAATATATTTATTTCAGACTGAAAAATGCTATCAGATATTGGCCAAATGTCGACAGAGGTCAGACGCACCTAGCAATGCATTCGACCTCAACCAACACATCCTTTGGTAGCCTCGCGACCTCAACAGCAGACCGAGCAGGCTTATGGGAGCCAAAAGTCGCCTCGTAGATGCCGTTGACGGTGACAAAGTCATTCATCGATTTCAAGAACACCTGCATATCTTCAATAAGAGCGCATATATTCAATGTTGAGCACTTACAGTCGTCTTGACCACCTTTCCTAGCTCTGATCCACCAGCTTCAACGACAGAGGCCAGATTCTTCAGCGCCTGTTTCGTCTGTGCCTCGATTCCTCCTTCGACTACTTGCATAGATGTCGGATCCAGCGGGATGCATCCAGAGCAGAAGAGCAGATCACCCGCCTTGATGGCCTGGGAGTAAGGGCCTATAGCAGCAGGGGCATCTACTGAACAGTGAGTAGATCAGTACTCATCCGACGCGACGCGACGCACTGGCGGTGGAGACCGTGGTCAAGGACGAGTGGGTCGAAGCAGACATTTGGCGACGTTGAACGGGTAGTCGAAGAGTAACGGCGGGACGAATGAGTAATCTACTGGCCCGTAGCAAAGTGGAAGACATTTATTGAAGCCGCCTCTGGCCGCGGCCAAATTTCGGCAGAATGTTTGGTTCCAAAGCCGATAGCAGTATCAGGCGGCCCGGATGGCCACTGAAACAGCACTGAAACCTATCATCATGACTTCCTTCACTTCCATCTTCAATGGCGACAGAAGAAAAAGAAGAGTACCGCAAACACTACGTTCCCCTCGAGTCGAACCCAGAGGTCTTCACTGAGCTCATCCAAAATCTCGGCGTCGACGTCCTCCAGTTCCAGGATGTCTATTCCGTCGAGGAACCTGATCTAATGGCATTGGTGCCCCGGCCCGTCTATGCGCTTGTGCTGGTATTCCCGACCAGTGATGCATATGAAGGTCAAAAGAAGGCAGATGAAGCGACGCGCTCAGCGTACGCTGGGAAGGGCGATGGGGAGGATGTCATCTGGTTTAGACAAACGATCAACAACGCTTGTGGGCTGTATGCGATCCTTCACGCTGTTTGCAACGGGGACGCGAAGAATATTATTCGTGCGTTTTTCAAGTGTGTCTATGCGTGCATTTCCACTAATGTCCTTATAGCGTCAACCTCAAATTTGGCCACGCTGCTTGACAAAGTCGTCCCGTTGGATCCTGTCGAGCGCGCGCGCGCTCTTGAAGATTCTAAAGAGCTCGAAGAAGCCCACGCACGTGCAGCGGCACAGGGTTCGACTGCGGCGCCTAATGCCAACGACGAAGTTGATTATCATTATGTGGCTTTTGTCAAGTCGCACAAGAACAACCGGTTGTACGAAATGGATGGGCGAAAGAAGGGGCCCGTTGATAAGGGCATAAAGCTGAAGGGGGACGAGGACCTTTTTAGCGAAGGTGGTCTCAGCTTGGTGAAGGAGTTCATCAAACGGGAGCAGGACGGAAATCCCAACTTCAGTTTGATGGCACTTGTTCCCGCAGGAAGTCTGACCGTTTGAAATTTTGCTATAGGATGTGTTTACGATACGACGAAGCGAATGTCAACTGTGGATTCACGCCAAAAAGAAGCTTTTTCTTTCCATGCAAAGCGAACTATTGTCGTTGCAGCACCTCAACGTAACGCCTGCGTCTTCCTCTCCGTTAGCATGCCATTTCTGAGCCATCGACTGCACCAATCCGGGACCACCCTGGACATCTTCGTATCTCCGGCGATCCTGAGAGGATAAGCGGAGGATATGGCTCAGAAACAGTTTCCACCTTGTCCCTCCAATGTGAGACATACCGACAGATGCGCGAACGGCCGAACGTTCTCGATTTCGGACACAGCTACCAGTCATCTCATGCAGAGAGCAAGGGCCCGGATATTTACCCCATACCGAGAAAACAACGTGAGTGATGCTCCATCCGAGTAACGACAAGTCAGTTCCTCGAGCCAGCGATGAAGGAGAATCGTTGAGTTTAAAGGTTTTCGACGAGAGCCATTTCATAAAGAGCTTGGGGATATCGGCGTCAGCAATGTTCACTGGATACGCATGCTCTAAGGCTGGCTTTGAAGCACCTCTTGTCGGTGATGTCGCTGCTCGTAAATCATTTTTCGGTGTCATCATTTCCGAAGACGGCTATAATAGAATATACTCCATCTCGCGCCCGCCTAGCTCAATCGGATAGAGCGTCAGACTTTTAAACCTTAACTAAGCAAGTTAGCGAGGGAATCAGCATATACTTGATCAAATCTGAAGGCTGCGAGTTCGACCCTCGCGGTGGGCTACTTTATTTTTCTGTTTTGTTCAACCATTGTGAGCACTGAGAACTTAGAAGTTGAGATTCGAGAACTTGTGACTTATGACTTGTCCCGCCGGTCCGTTCTTCCTCGAATACAATTCGCGGCACTGGGGGCACGCTATATGATGATCTCTATTCTGATGCAGTTCCATTGTTTCGAATCTTTCGATCGGTTGGTGAAATGAGATCCTATGTACGGAAAATACATTGGTAACATTTATTAATCTTCTAAGAATCTTTCCGGCAGTTCAGGAGGAAAATAAGGCACTGGCTTTAAACGAATGGTCGCTATGAATGAATGCGTCTTGTTTGTTTAAGGTACCTTGGGCCCGTCGGGGCCCATGTGCGCATGTCAACATTCATTTAACGTATACAGCGGTAGAACTGTTTCTCAAGCCGAGTCCTTTTCATCAACCTTAACCTCACAAGCTTCCAGGCCCGTCTCCTTGTCATGCATGCGGTCAAGTAAGTGGGGCTTCCAAGATGGACTATTCCATGGCTTAACACCAGAGCGATACATCTCATCAACCTAAAGATATGATCAGAGCAATCCTCGCTGAGAGGTGTGGTAATCTTTTACCTCCTCCAGGCTGAGGCCCTTGGTCTCTGGAATGAATAGATATACGTAGGCATATCCTGAACGAAAAGAAATGAGTCTTTGATGAATGTCTAGTAGGGTATACACGCACCAAAGACCAGCATGCCGAAGAATATCAACAGAATAAGAGGGCCAATGCTGGCGAACAACAATTTTAGATATGCCATCAATAGATGGCTTGGCACTTACTCATTTGCGATTCGTGGAGAGAAAAATGAGAGTAAGAAGTTCCATAGCCAGTTCGTGGCACTTCCGAGTGCTATGGCTTTGGGGCGAACTCGAAGGGGGAAAGATTCGCCAAGATATACCCACCTATGTAAACGATACGTCATGTCTCTGTCCGGGATCGTCATGGAATTTATGAACGTACGGAACTGGTCCCCAGAAGACGGCAAAGGAGAAAACGTGTAGAATGGCAAATGCGATTAGTGTATTTCCTGTGAAAGGCCTGGTTTCAGGCCTGGACAATGACAAGATGAACAAAAAGTGCATTACCTCCTTGTTTATTCCGCTGAGTCAACTGGTTTGTTGGGGTCCCTGATGGTGCGAGAGTGAAGTGGCCAACAAGTCCCGCCTAAAGAGGAGGTGTGGATTAGACTCATCGCTCGCGGATGAAGTTCATATACGAACGATGAGGGAACAGATGGCTTCCAACACGGAACCAACAAGAAGGGACTGTCATGCAAATGTCAGTATGTCGCTTCACGGACGAAATCATATACAACGAACACGACGGCGGCCCCACGCTTCAATTAGATACTGTGCATAGATCCCTTTCAATTACTTGTTTGCAAAGGGCCAAGGTTGAGAACTCACCAGAGCGGGAATGGTACCTGCAACTGACACAGCTCCCAGGATAGTTTGGATAACAAAAGGTGAAAGCCTGGGTAGGGTAAGGCCCAGGTCCAATACCAAATAATCTTCACGTACTCAGTTCCAGCACTCTGGAAAAATGTATCTCCGTAGTAATCTATAGATAATGAACGAGAGTCAGCTGCCTAGTAGATCGGAAAAACGAAGCCTTACAGTAAAAATTCTGCCCATTGAGCTGCTGAATAAATTGCAACATCATGCCATTCATTGTACGTTTCCACAGCGCGTTTCTCGTTGAGAAACATTCGAGCCATGTTGCCTTTCCGTCCTCGTTCTCGGCTCTGATACTGAACATTAGTTCTTCGACTGCCTCTTCAGTAAGAGGATCATCTATGGGAACACCGTTTAGCTCGGCAATGACTTTTCGAGCTTCCTCAGTTCGATCTGTGCCCAAAAGATGCCGACTACGGGAGATCAGTATTACTAGACTGACACTGGCTGCGCGGACGTACGGGGACTCAGGAAGGAAGAAGATTCCAGATAGAATAATCAGACCCCAAAGCATTTGCAGACCGACCGGGATACGCCAAGACGCGGAACCAGAAATCGTATGTGTACCAAGTTCGATGATGTAGCTGATGAATATCCTGGAAGTAGATGCTGTTCAATACACTAAACGAGCAAGACAGTGCAACGACCCACCCCGTAATGACTTGGAGTTGATATAATACTAGTAGCATACCGCGCAACGCCTTGGGAGCTGTCTCTCCGTTATACAGGCTATATCCCATACATAAGACTGTACCATTAGAAGATGTGAAGCACGTACGGTACGATAGCTGACATAGCTCCGACGCCAAGACCTGCAATAAAGCGGCCAACCGAAATTTGGGCGATAGATGTCGTCGTTCCAGTTTGTACGGCAGTTCCGACCGTGAACTAGGAAGGATGAGCAAACAATTGGTATAAACGTGGAATGGAATTTCACAATGGCAGCCCAAATGAGTATAGAACCGCGACGGCCGAATCTATCAGATGTGAACGCTTGTGCCAAGGCACCACTACAAATGCATTAGTAGCGCACTGAGCGGGAGCATGGAATAGACCCAACACGAATGTTCCCGCCGACAGGAGGGATGTGATAATTGACTGCCGATTGCTGTCTAAGATATATTCTCCAGGTTTTGCAGTATCGGGATAACCAAAACGACGTATGAAATCAGGCATGATCAAACATCCTCTATCAGAGCGTAACTTCGGTGTGAGCTCGGTTTTGACCGTACTCCGTGAACACTCACGAGATGACTCCAATATCATATCCAAATAGAAATCCTAGCACAAAAGGACGTTCATGGTTCCCGCTTGTGATCTAGCTATCGGCTTACCTCCTACAGGATTATCAGTAGATACCAGTCTCGAAACAAGAAGTTCACACACCAAATGCAACGAAAATGGCAAGCAGAATAGCCCGTTTGTTGGTTGGCACTGCTTTAGCCATGGATACTTTCGGTAAAGAGAACGCGAGGGGAAATAAAGATCATGAGAACCCAGATTTATAATGTTCGCGAAGACTAGGTCCGGAACAGTAAGCGATACCAATCTCGCAGAAGTTCGGTCGTTATTCCGCAGAACCAA